GTCACTTCTTCAGACTTATGTCCATTTATTCATTGCATCCTCCTGGACTGAATCCTCCTGTACCAAATTGAGACCTAGGATTCCTGTCTCATTACCAGTGCTGGTATCTCCACACCTCTATATATCACATCTAATCCAATTACGCCTGCTATTGCCATCCGGCATCTGAAATGATCTTTATAAAGTTTATATCTCCAGTACCTTGTGTTACATTTTATGGCACACATGGCCCAGCCTGACAAAGTAACATTTATGTCAGATCTGGCCCTCGTAAAAACAGGTTGCTTACCTGTAACTGATGATTTTCGAGTGGCCATCTGTGCAGTCACACACATGGGTTCTGCGCCTGCACTCAAACCCAACCTCGGAGAACTACAAGAGCTAGTCTCTGAATTTTGGCATGCTTCCTCCCCACGCTCTGGGGAGCAGACATCCACTGCACGTGTCTGAAGTGGGGAAGGAAACACTCAGTTTCTTCCAACCGCTGCTAGCAAATCCCAAGAAAAAATAGCATACCAGTGAGAGATGCCAGCAGTGGGGAAGGCTGGCAGGGTGGGTGTGACTGCACAGATGACCACTCGAAGATCATCAGTTACAGGTAAGCAACCTGTTTATCTTCTTCGTGGTCTCTGTGCAGTCCTACACGTGGGTGTTTCGCAAGCTTCACTAACAGGATGGCGGGTGCTGGCATCTCCACAGTGGAGAAGAAAATCACCACACAGTAAAAACACATAGGGATCAGATATCTATACCAGTCTACCTGATTGAAGAAGGATGTCAGCCATCAATGGAAGACAGATCAAACTACCAATTGGTCGAAGGACGCATCACGTCATGCCCGAATGTCAAGAGTATAATGCGTCACGAAAGTTGTCTGCGAGGACCACGTGGCAGCAGTGCAAATGTCCTCTAGAGGAACACCCTCAAAGAAGGCTGATGATGCAGAGACAGCTCTAGTTGAGTGAGCGTTCGGCGCGACAGATAAGGGTTGTTTTGCCAACTCATAACAGAGCCGGATAGTTGCGGTGATCCATTTTGACAGGCACTGAGAGGAGATTTTTATGTCCCAGATGGGGCTTACTGTAGGCCCATGAGTTTGGAGAGAACGGATAAAAGGAAGTACTTCTTCACCCAAAGAGTGATTAACACATGGAAAGTGGTGGCGGCTACAAGCATGGACAACTTCAAAAGGGAATTAGATAAGCATATGGAGCAGAGGTCCATCAGTGGCTATTAGCCACAAGGTATAGATAGGGACTCTGGGGCAAGTGATGCTCTGTCTTCTTGGTGCTTGGGGGGAGGTCAACAGTGGGAGGGCTTCTAATGTCCTGGCCCCACTGGCTGGTGGATCTCCTGATGGCATCTGGTATTTCTGGCCACTGTGTGACACAGAGTGTTGGACTGGATGGGCCTTTGGCCTGATCCAATATTGGCGTCTCTTATGTTCTTATGAGGATCTTGGCAAAAGGGAGACATCTTAGAAAGGCAGAAGGAGAGTGCTCTGCAGACGTCTAACGTGTGAAGAGCCCTCTGGCCATCATCTATTGGATTAGCAAAGAAAGTAGGTAGAACGACAGGCTGGGACAAGTGAAAAGCCGACACTATCTTAGATAAAAAGTAGGGTCAGTCCAAAGGACCACCTTGTCCTTGTGAAAATGGTGTATGGAGGGTCGGCTTGCAAAGGGCACAGGTCACTCACCCTCTTAGCCGAAGTGACAGCTACAAAGAACGCCGTTTTCCAAGACAGAAGGTGCAGAGGTACAGTTGCGAGAGGCTCAAACAGCTTGCCCATGAGTTTGGAGAGAACAAGATAGAAGCCCCAGGCTGGAACAAGCGGCTTGACTGGGGGATGGAGTTTCAACGTATCTTTCAAAAACAATTTAGAAATGTTATAGGAGAAAACAGTTCTTCCCTCAATAGGATCATGAAAGGCAGAAATGGCTGAGAGATGAACTTTCAATGAGGCCGGTCTGGTGAAGAGAAACAAGATAGGTGAGGATCACATGTAGGGGTGCAGTTTTGGGGTCTTCTCCCTGAATGGTAGCATAAGAAATGAAATGTCGCCACTTTGCTTGGTAGGAACGACGAGTGGCTGGTTTTCTTGCATTCAGAGCATGCTGGACCTCAAGAGGGAAGGTCAGGTCGTTATTCTTCAAGCAGTCAACTTGAGAAATCCAGGATTATGATGTTGAGAGAGCAGATCTGGTGCCGAGGGAAGACACCGACAGACTGCATGCGACAACTTCAGAAGTTGTTCAGGACGCTCCTGACCATCCTCGTCCTTCTTTGCCCCTTTTGGAGTCACCCTTGGTCTCTGCGACCACCGGGGCTCCGCCGAACCTCTCGGAGGGAGGTCAGGTTGCAGGAGGCTTGTTCGGTCGCCCCGCAAATGGCGGTGAGCAAGGTGGGACCAATTTGTCTCAAAGCAGGAGCAGGGAATGGAGCAACATGGTCGCCATGTTTGCACAACTGCGATCGCCTGTTTTTAAAGACTATGGATTTACAACATAATACACAGTAACAAAGTAATCCATGTGAGTACGCGTACTTTCAGCTACAAAATGGTTAAAGTCTTCGTTAAATGACCCCCTATGAATATCTCCAAATTGGTGAAGAAGAGAGAAAGCGGCTAGGAAGAGATCGGGAGTTAAGGACGGTTCCAAGACAGAAGTCTGAAGACCAAGGTTATTGGTCAGTGCAGCTGCTGTTGGCATTGAAAGATCCGTTGGTGTGTCGGTAGGCTCCCCCAGGGGGGCAGCAACAGTAGCTGTCAGGGGAGCCAAAGGCGTTTTTATGACAACGGGAGCATCTGGTGAACCAAATATTAGGGGCTGCTGATCCTGAGGAAGGCACACGAAGAATTCTTCCGATGGGTACTGTGAGTAAGGACGCAAGTAGAGATCTCGGTCTTGGTACGATGAGCGGGATGGAAATCTGTAACGCTCCCGGAGAGATCATGGGAGACACTCTCACAGAAATTGTGACTGACAAATACTTAGAGTAGCCCTCGTAGGGAGCTGCATCAGAAGCTGGAACATAATGGAAGCGGAGTCGGCTTCGGGATCGGGATCGGCTCCAACAGAATTAATGTTGTGGAGACATCCTCAACATCTCAACAGGATCGGCTCCAACAGAACTGATGTTGTGGAGACATCCTCAGCATCTCAACAGGTTGTGAGTGTTTGTCCTGACAAGCAGGATCAGCTTTGAGGCAGTCCGATGGCAGATAACTGCACACGGATGGAACGTGCACCTGTGTGAGGGGCTGCTATGGTGGACAAAGTCAATGACAATGTGACCACAGGGGTGGCAGCTTGCATGTCCAAGGGCGTAGATTCCAAAGGTTGCATGGAGATCAGGGTCAATTTCGGAATTGTCACAGGCGTCAGTACCAACCGGTTCTTCGACTTGTGCGATTTCTTCAGTTACAGCACATCCTGAGATGAAGCTGAGAGTCCCTTGGACTGTTTGTTGGGTTTATGCTTTGGGGGCCCCAAGGCTGAAGATGCTGCTAACTTAGCTGAATATCCCTTCGGGCACTGGGAGGCCTCTAAGAGGTGGCTCTTCAGTCTCGCAGCTCGGTTCTTTCGTGCCTGCTTTGTAAAGTTGCTACAGTGGGCACAGGAGTCCCATTTATGAGTCCTGCCCAGGGCGGTAGGTATCTTCCCCTCACAATTTCAACAGTGTTTAAAGCGATCTTCCCTTCCATGTGCCAGAGACAACGGCCAAAAGGAAGGGGGAGGGAACGACAGATGGTAAAAACTCACAAAAACCTTTCTTTTGTAGAAATTGTGACAATGATGAAGACGGTGACAATGACGAAGGAGATGGAGGAAACAGGCCTATGAGGCAGCTCAGTAGAGGGAACGCAGCAAGGTAGGTCTGACCAGTGCAGCGGTCAAAAAGTAAGTGAGTGTAAGGGTGTTTCTTTCCCCAGTCCAGACATGCGCTGTGGATGTCTGCTCCCCAGAGAGCAGGAAGGAAGCATGCCAAAATTCAGAGGCTAGCTCTTGTAGTTCTCAGAGGTCGAGCGCAGGCACAGAACCCGTGTGTGGGACTGCACAGAGACCACAAAGAAGATCAAATAAGTTTGACACCTGTGTGGTAACTGGTGTCTAAGGCGAGGTGAGCAAAGTGGCCAGCAGAACTATGAGCAAAAGGATTTGTGGTATAGCTGGAAGAGCATCAGTGGGGAATGTTCTGGTTAGCAAAGGGCCAGCAACAGGAGACAACCTGTGTTTCCATCAGCATGGGAGGTTTTAAGGCAGCCCATCAAGGGTATCCAACATCTACAAAAAAGGGTATAAAACTGGTGGGGAGATGAAGGAAAAAAGAGGAAATCCTACAAAAAGGAGAGTCTATTGTATGACTTTTTAAAGAGAAACATTCCAGCTATGCAGCTGTTGTGGCAGACAAAGCTATGAAAGGGAAGGGGCAGCCCTCTCCCTCAAGGTATGTCCTTTACCATCCCTGTCTTCAAAGTGACTCAATGTCAAAACACATTTTCAGCTCAGCTCTATAAGATTCTGAATGCAGTCTGCAGAGGTACAGGCCTTGGTGTACCTACACACAGGGACCATTAAAAAAGAATTATGCTATTTATTCATCATCTCATTTTATCCTTATCAATACTTCATCACTCATCGTTATAATGAGCTATGCTTTCTTCATTCTATGCATTGTGTTATTTCAGTAATAATACAGAGATACCCATTCTGGTTGATTTCCACACAATATTGCATTCCAGTTCTTTTTACATCAATATGTAAACCTTAATCCCATGTATGAATTTACCATAACTTCATTTTAAAAATCTATGAAAATCACAGCCATGTTGCAGAATGTTCCTATTCTGTTTCAGAAGAGGAAAAGTATTGGCATAGTGGCCACAGCAGTGTTCATTTTTTCAAAAATAACATTTTTAAAATAGCTTCTTCTTACAAAATTTCCAATTTAAAATAAAAAATGTTGCCCTATGAACATATGAAATGATAACCTACCAACTGAACTTCCCCAAATGCACCTCTGCCAATCACTTTCACTACTTCATAATCTTCAGCTTTCATACGGAGATCTCTGATTTTGTTTATTGTGTCTTTATCTGTGAAGAAAATACAAGGAAAAATTGTAGCACTAAGCATGAGCAGAAATTCTAGGCCTTAGAAGTAAATGTTCATATATGAAAAGTGTAGCAAGTATCTCATTCTATTTATATTTTGTTTGTTGCTAACTTCTTGCAACATCTGTTGCTTGTTAAATACCCAAGTTGTTTAAGATAAGAACTTGTTTCTTTTCCATCTCTCTTGTTGCAAATATCTCCTCTGCACTTATTCTTCATACCATGGCAACACATAAATGTGAATCACACAATACAATAATTTCACTACAGAGACAAATCAGGAAAGCACTTGAAATTTAAATTCACAGAAATTCATATTGGAAACGAGAGCCATGAAAGCAGAGACGATCTGCCCTCATCATAACGTACATATAATACTAATATGAATTATTAATTTATATAACTTTTTAAAAATATATATTTTATATGCCACCTTCTCCGCAAGCGGGCTCAGGCTGGTTAATATCACAACTTAATATAATACAATTTAAACAATTTAAAATAACACTTTAAAATAGAACAGAGTCATAAATACCATGTACACAGTGTTTCTTTTCCATCTCTCTTGTTGCAAATGTCTCCTCTGCACTTATTCTTCATACCATGGCAACATATAAATGTGAATCACACAATACAATAATTTCACTACAGAGACAAATCAGGAAAGCACTTGAAATTTAAATTCACAGAAATTCATATTGGAAACGAGAGCCATGAAAGCAGAGACGATCTGCCCTCATCATAAAATACATATAATACTAATATGAATTATTAATTTATATAACTTTTTAAAAATATATATTTTATATGCCACCTTCTCCGCAAGCGGGCTCAGGCTGGTTAATATCACAACTTAATATAATACAATTTAAACAATTTAAAATAACACTTTAAAAGAGAACAGAGTCATAAATACCATGTACACAGGCTGGGTCAGAAGTCAATCAGGTTAACTAAAGTGCAACAGTGGGCACCCCAGGCCACTGATGGATCATGAGGCCCGGTGGAAGAGCTTCGTCTTGCAGGCCCTGCAGAATTGCAATAGATCCCGCAGGGCCCTGATCTCATATGGGAGCTCATATGGGAGCTCATTCCACAAGGTAGGGGCCAGGGCTGAGAAAGCCCCGGCCCTGGCAGAAGTTAATCAGACCTCCCTGGGGCCAGGACTTCCGGTTTTGGTGACTCGCAAGCGGGCACGCTCCATCACAGCTCTGATGTGAGCGACCCGCAAACGTGCCGATGGGAAGGGGGCCCAAGCTGGTCTTGGGGGCCCCCAGACCCCTTGGAGGGGGATCGTAGCCTGGGGCACAAGAGGTGCCTCTCCCAAGGCGGAAGCCAAAGGATCGAGGCTCCTCTTTGTCCCAATAGGTCCCCACAGCACGGAAGTAGTATGGCATTAAGAGGCGTACACTGCCCAGAGCACACAAGTGATGTGAATCAACGAACCTCTCTATCTACTTAAATGCAAGTAAAGATGTGAGTGAATTTACGTCCCAACAAACATTCGTCAGCCAACAAACATCAGTCAAGCCGCACCGAAGTCCCAAAATAAGCGGAAGGGGGAGGGGAAAGCCTGAGTCCGAAAAGACGGAGTTAAGCGAGGGACAGAAAGAACGGCTTGTAAGAAGCGAAATTCGATTGAATGTGGTGTGTATTAACAAGAAAGTGGTAGACTATTGGACTTTTAGCGAATATTCGAACTTTTCTCTTACTATAAATAATGATGCAGCGAACAGAAAGAATGGCGGCGAAAACAAAACCTAAAATTGGAACTGCCAGCATTTCTTTTCCAGAGATTAAACTGGAAGCAACCATACACTCTCCCTAAAGGATTGTTACAGATTAGCGCCATTTCCTGGACCAGAAAACTAACTCTAACGTGGAGCTGCTGTGGTGCAAAAGGAACTTAAAGAAACCCCAGGAAGAACAGACTCTGTTCATTAAGCGAAAAGTTTCCCGATGAAACAAGCGTAAAATGAAGATGGTCTTGAGAAAGCGGAACGATCGTTGTAGATTTGTGTTATCTACTGGACCAGAAGACCAACTTTAATGTGGTGTTGTCATGCTGCAAAAGGAACTCGAAGAAACCCTGGCGAGAACAGACTATGTTCACTAAGCGAAAAGCTTCCCAACACAACAAGCAGAAAGCGAGATATGGTCCTGAGAAAGCAGAAACAACAAAGATGCAGAGCAAGAAGAAGAAGAAAGGCACAGTCCTGATACCAACTAGTTCAAGTTAGCCTTTATTGACATAAATTAACAGTACAAATTATACAATTTTAGGAAACAGTTAAAACACCTATAAAAATCTGTGACTCGATATTGTGCAATTAGAAGCTGATAAGGATGTTATATCTCTAGGAACCTTTGGCGCAGCTTTAAAACCAGACAGAGAAACTTAGCCACCTTCTCAGTGATGTCGGGACCGAGATCTTTTAAAAGTCTGTGGACCTTGAGTGCATCAGAACAATCTGCCATACTGTTTAGGATAGAATGTAGATAGATATTCCTTAAGTCCCCGTACAGATTACAATGCAGGAGAACATGTGAATGATACCAACTAGAAAAACATGGCAGAAACTGATTTAGATTTAGGGATGTTTAATATTAAACACCTAAAATCCAAAAATTAAGCTGGACTTTGATGAGAAATTGAGAGAAAAGAAATAAGAAAAATTTATTTATTTATTTATTGTTAGACTTTTACCCCGCCCTCCCACCTAGGCGACTCAAGGCGGCTTACAGTAGTTAAAAACCAGTGTAAAATTAATACAATATCAGGTCTAAAACAATACAATAAATAAAATATCAAAATACATCTTATTAAAAATAGAATGTGGTGGCCATCTGTTATAAAGTGCTAGTACTTATGTGGAACGGTCAGTGTGGCCAGAACTGTTAGAACGCTTGCCGAAACAGCTCGGTCTTTACCACTCTACAGAATTGTTGAAGATCCCGCAGAGCTCTAATTTCGTTTGGGAGCTGATTCTATAGTACCGGTGCAGCTAGGGGAAATGCCCTAGTTCTTGTTGATGTTAACTTAGCGTCCCTAGGGCCAGGGAGGACCAAGCGATTTTGTGTCTTGGATCTTGGTGCCCACGGGGGAACATACGGGGAAAGGCGGTCCCTCAAGTACACAGGCCCCAGACCTTTCAGGGCTTTAAAGGACAAAACCAGCACCTTGAAGCGTATCTGGAACGCTATTGGCAGCCAGTGCAGTGACCTCAGCACAGGTTGGATGTGTTCCCTCATGGGGAGACCCATCAGCAACCTGGCTGCGGCATTCTGCACCAGCTGCAGCTTCCGGAGTTGCCCCACGGGCAGCCCCATGTAGAGAGCATTGCAGTAATCCAGCCTCGAGGTGACCATAGCATGGATCACTGATGCCAGATCGTTGCGTTCGAGGAAGGGGACCAACTGCCTAATCAGCCGCAGGTGGTAAAAGGCTGCCTTGGCAGTGGCTGCTACCTGGGCCTCCATTGTCAAGGAAGCATCCAGGAGCACTCCCAAACTCCTGACCCTCGGAGCTGGCACCAATGGTGCTCCACCGAAGGCTGGAAAAGGGACCCCTACCCCCGTACCACTCCGGTTCAGGCATAGGACCTCCGACTTCATCAGATTCAGTTTCAGTCGACTCAGCCTAAGCCAGCCAGCTACGTCCCACAACGCTCGGTCCAGATCTTCCGGGGTAGAGCCAGACTGACCGCCCAACAACAGATAGAGCTGGGTGTCATCCGCATATTGATGACACCCTAGCCCATGTCTCTGGGCAATCTGGGCAAGGGGGCGCATATAGATGTTAAATAACATCAAAATAAATTGAGATTGTTAGTCTAATGTTTACCCTTTTCGTATAATGTTAAAGCGAAAACTACACCACAATCAATCATGTCAGAGATTGTTTGTTGTTTAGCATGATCTTCTTTTGTTATTAGTAACTCTCACATTTTGCCATTTGGAGATTTAGAGATGTATTAATTATCTCAAACTATTGTAACAAAGATCCTTGGTACTCTTTATTTTAGATTGTTCCCTTTCCCCGACCCTGTAGAGTTGTAGTTTTAGAAAGGGGGGGGAGACCTCCCTGGGGCCAGAGACTGTTAGGAGATGTTGATTTGAAGACGTCAGTGCCCTACACCAAATTCAGGTTAACAAGAGGGGACTCACAATAAAATGTTGTGTAATGTGTTGTGGCTTAGTTTAACTTGTAATCGCAGTGTAGATTTTGTGTACTGTCAGCCTCCCCTACATACAGTGTTATTCCTTCTCTCTGTTTGTCTGTCCCCTCAGCCCAGGTAAGGTGTGAGGCGACCAAAGCCTCACTCTGTCAGGAGCAGTGAAAAATGTGGAGCCTTGCTGCCACTCCCCCAACACTGCTGTCTAGTGACAGTGACAAATTTTTCATGAGATAGTGGGGACCAAGCTGGAGTATAAGCAAGTTCTTACATTAGTGTGAAGAAGTCCTTCCTTCTGAAGCCATCTAAGAAACTGGCCTGTATTGCCAAACTTGTTGCAGTGAGTTCTATAAGTTTATTGTATGTTATGCTAGGGAGGGTTTCTTGGCAGAGCAGGGATTTAAACCTGGGTCTTCCAGATCCTAATTTTATTCTCCAACCATTAGTGCTGGGAAGTGCTGTCAAATCACAGGCAACTTGTGGCAACCCGGTGGGTTTCCTAGGCAAGAGACTAACAGAACTGGTTTGCCATGACTGTCCTTCACATAGCAACCCTCGATTTCCTTGGTGGTCTCCCATTCAAGTATTAACAAAGGCGTCTTCCAGTTCCTAATTTTATTCTCCAATCATCAAGTCACAGGCAACTTATGGCAACCCTGCGGGTTTCCTAGGGAAGAGACTAACAGAGCTGGGGACCATCCTTCACATAGCAACTCTTGATTTCCTTGGTGGTCTCCCATCCAAGTACTAACAAAGGCAGACCTTGCTTAGATCCTGTGATCCAGCAGTTTTACAGCTGTTTAAAGG